GCTACGGAAAGACGTAGCATAAACGTTCTCCTGGCGAGACCTCAAATAATCTTCGTAATATCGATCAAACTATAGATCCACTGGACGTAGATTCTAAAAGTACAATATACACTTCTCGCTAGAAATCTAATCAAAAAGCATTTTAATGGACAAACTATTCCACAATTTAGGATTTTCCAGAGAGGGTTATTTGTGAATAAACGACCCTCCGGATCGTTTGCAATCAACGGGAGCATGTTGTTTCTTACACGACCACTAGAGGTGCTACACTTTAAAACGTGACTATGGGTCGTAATAAGCTGCTCAACAATCGACCTATTTGGTCGTTTTTTGTAGGAGGACAGGCTGTGAAATATATATGTTTGGTTTGCCTTATTCATTCAGAGAAATCCTATGATTTGTTTAATGTCATACAGTAGGTGTAGGACATGATTTGGAGCTCAGTAATAAAAGCTGCCTCTACCACACTGAAAATGCAGCTTGAGTCAGACTGTCTGAACAGAAGTCAAAGCTGACCATTGTTCTATAATAGAGGTTATGAAAACTTTCCCCCCCTTTGGCCCGCAGTGTAAACAAACACAGTCTCAGTCTCCTCCAGACTGCGACTCCTCACTGGTAGGGCTTTCCTGCTGCATATTTGTAACATGTGCACTATTTATGAGAGATTTCCATCTTTGGTGATTAGCCAGGGCTTATCTCTGATGGCACAGTCGAGATCACACGAACACTTGGACTCGCGGTGTTCCACTGTACAAACAGGAATAAGCACGACCAAGACAATGGTGGTCGGTTTAGGAATGTGACTTGTGAGGACAGGCCACATATTATGCGTGTTATAAATTCAAGAGCTGTTTACTGTGTGCCAATCAAACCTGTCTATTCATTCAACTGCTAACTAATTACGTGTTCAACAGAGCGTTTAACGTGTTTTAGATTAATTAATTTGACATTATCCACTGTAGTTTGATTTATGAAAATGTAACTTTTACAATGAACATTTCTAGTTTTGGGTGTGACCTGGTATCTGTGAATACTTATTTGTAGTCATGTTTGTTTGTCTTCTATACAATGTCTAGAAATACTCTGAATGGCCAGCAGGGGGCAACTCCACAGGTTGAGAAACGAAGATTGAATAGAAGTCTATGAGAAAATTACTTCTCTTTTGATTGGTATCCTGATTAAACATTTTCCTAACGATTTAATGATCTCCACAACTAGTTTCAAGTCTTCTCCAATACATTTAGAGTAAAATAGACAATAAAGGCGGGGCTACCTTGTGATAGGTAACACTGGTGTTGTCCAATTTGGGCAAGTTATTGTCTTACAACTTTAACCCATTCACAGTGTGTCTTGTGAAGACTCGTGGGCATTTTTTTTTTAGCATTATTTTAATTTAAAGAAAACATACCAGATCCATCAAAATGATATGTGCTCAGAGGAGGGAATCATGTTCTCCAAGCATGACGGATGTCTTCATTGGGCCCTTGTAGAATTGCGCAGCCTTGACAGAGAAGACTGACAGGAGAACAGTGGGATGTTTTTTACAATTTCTTTAAAGTGACAGGGCATTTCCTTTAAGATCCTCTATAAAGGTTACATGTGAAATCAGTGTGCATCCGGTCTCAGTAACAACATGTGATATCCTCCCTAAATCCAAATCTAGAGCACAGCAGGGATGTAAGAGCCGACTCTGATTAGAAATAATTTAATAAGAGAAAAAGATGCAGCTACGCAACCCGATTGAGTTGAAGGGTGTACCTGTTTTTGCTTTAAATAAACAACCTGCCAACATTCCTCTATGCTTCTTGTCAAATAAAAAAAGCATGTGTGACGGTAATTCATCGTGTTATTATTCTGTCAGTTAAAAGCAGCTTCTTGTCAAAATATTTATCTGACACGTGCCCTTTTGGGAGTTCAGTCAACAATGTTTTTTTACTAGATTTAAACTAAGAATGGTATTAGAGACATGTGTTTGTTCTGCACCAATGATTTATAAGGGTTGGCATTATCTCTTTCCCCAGCTTTGTTGCTTACTGAAGCTTAACTCATACCATTTATGCAGGATATTAAAGAATATACACACAGGGCTCCCTCGTCATGCTCAGAAAGCAGCAAGGTTACAACTAAATAAGTGTGAGCACACAGCGAGGACATGATTTCATTCGTGCTGACACTGCTAAGAGGTGATAATGAGCCTCAGTTAAAGGGCATAGCTTATCAACAAATCACAAAATAACCTGGAATAAGAAACACAGAGAGAGGGGGAAGGGTGGTCCTGCTAATGACTTCTAATAGGCCTGTTAATGATATGAAGGTATGTATTTCTATCAAGCTAGCCAAGGAGAGCAATGATCTCTGGCCCCTGGCTTTTAAAAAACCCATGTGGAACAAGCTGGCTGTGGCTGATAGTGGACCTCTCCCTCATTTTATCTCCAATGCACTGCAGAACCCCCTACTCTGTGTGTGTGTGTGTGTGTGTGTGTGTGTGTGTGTGTGTGTGTGTGTGTGTGTGTGTGTGTGTGTGTGTGTGTGTGTGTGTGTGTGTGTGTGTGTGTGTGTGTGTGTGTGTGTGTGTGTGTGTGTGTGTGTGTGTGTGTGTGTGTTGTGTGTGTGTGTGTGTGTGTGTGTGTGTGTGTGTGTGTGTGTGTGTGTGTGTGTGTGTTGTGTGTGTGTGTGTGTGTGTGTGTGTGTGGTTTCCCCAGCAGTGCCGTGGCTGCAGGGTAAGCTAAAGCTCTTGAGAGAACCGGACCTGCACTGAGCAGTCTTCACTGTAATTTAGTGTTACACAACAAACCTGCAGCACAGCCACATAAATGCTCACATTGAAGGCTGTCGAAAGAGAGAGGAAGAGGGGGGGGGGGGAGAGAGACGTGAGGCTGAGAGGGAGAACATACTGAGGGAGAGGGACTCATTATGTGAAATGAGCAGCACCTGTGAAAGCCCAAACTGTAATTGATTCATTCATTAATAATAATTCAAATTAGACTTTAAATTACATTTCGCTTCAAGATGACACAAAGAGGCTGAGTAGGTTTATTTTAGCCGTTTTGGTATTTCCTGTATAAAATACAAGTTTAAATATTATACGGAAAATATATTTAGACCTTTAGACCTAAATGTCTAAATATATCACTGTAATATGAATTGACATCTATATACACAATCATTTTACACTATAGTTCTTTAAAACATTGGATTACATTGCAGAATAAGCATTGTTTGGAGCTTAATGAGTCTACTCACAAAAGCGATCATATTTTGAAATTATTCCAGCATCAAATCTATTTATATTATGTGCATGTTTCTGCACCAGCATCAGAATAAAAACCACATTAACGTAAAAAGTAAAGAAAAAAGAAAAAATTGAAAAATAAGGTAAAGAAAACTGAATAAAACAAGGGTAATGGTAGCATAAAGTCTTATGTAAAGTTATGATTTACATAATGGTATTGAAGCTGACAAAATTAGGCCATCAAATAAATAAAACGTGGTAGATTGTATAACCAACTCTTGCATACTTGCTTTTATAACATTTGTTTGGGGTAACTATTCCGCATTATATGATTACAAAACCACATCTTTTCATTTGTATCAAACCCATATCACATGTTCATAAAGTTATGCTTTATCTGATTAATGCCCCCTTATCCTGTTGGTTGGCCTGAGATGTGGGATGGTGATGTCTTATATAACCCCCCCCTCCCCATTTTTCTCTCTCATGTCTCTCCTCCCTTCCTCTTCTGTATGTTTATGCTGATGATGTGTCAAAACACTTCAGCCTGCCTCCCTTAGTGCTGTCAGGAGAGAAACATTTTGCCCTCTCCCCTCTGCAAAGACGCGGAACACAGTTTGAGAGCATTAAAGATTCAGCTTCTGTTTGGGTTGGTCCTCATAAATATTGACTAAAAGCCCCGAGAACGAGAACTAGTTGTCCCCTCAGCTGCGGGCAATTAGGGAGGAACATTTTTTAAAGCGCTTGTGTTCTTTCATGGGACATAAGTCTGGTTGTAAGAAATTAAGATGGAGGAATTATTTATGACCACAAGGCCACCGCAGTCCTCTGGTGCTGCTTTGTGATATATTGCTATTAATCTCCTTGCATCTGTTCACTTTAATTGTAATTTTTGACTGTGTAATCTACTTAATTTCCAGCTGTCTTTTGTAATTTAAACTGTCTTTCATCTCCATATTACTTATATTATGTTTTTTACAACTCCTGGTGAAAATATATTTCTGTCCTAGGTCAAAATATAACTTATAGCAGTTTTTCAAATAATCTCTAATAATCAACAACATACCTTATATGTCTAAAGCAAAGGCAGAAAGCCATAAATCAATATACTCGAGGTTTCCCATCAAGGGTCTATCGCTCTATTTCCACAAATCGAATCACTCACGACCCTCATCACCTTTCTCAGAGACATCCCTCAGTGCTGTATGATCTCTATCTAATATTCCCCTTGCTAGGTTTCGTGTAGTATGTCAGGTTATGAAGGATAATGGAATCCTAATTGGTTGTGTTGAATGGAGGTGTCCTCTGGCAGTCCTTCAGTGTGCGTCTGGCTGACTGCTATCACACAGTCAATCTGGACTGGGTCTCGGCCTCATAAGGGGACCTGAACGCTGAAACACTTGTCTGGGTCCAGTTGGAATTCAAGTTATGTTTGTGGGTCAACCCGAAAGATAACACCCCCCTTATCCCCGTAAAAAAGAAAAAAGGGAATGGGATTTTTCTGGTTGATTTTGGATTAGGGCAGAAAATAAGCTCTATGGCAATCACAGGATACCCACAGTTTTTGTGAAGAAAGATAATCCTCACAAATGAACACCACTTTTAAGATTTGTTTAAGTGTATTGCCAGGAGTAAAAAGCATTTAATACTTGAAGCTGTAAATAGCTAAATGCAATACAAAGGCTGAGACACTTATGATTGCGTCTGTATTAGTCATTTTATGTCACTATATGCAACTAATATTTTCTCTTCTCCTTCCTTTCCGCAGTCTTCATCTGCAGCTTCATGGTAGCGGCTCCCATCTTCGGTTACCTGGGAGACCGCTTCAACAGAAAGGTCATCCTGAGCTGTGGCATTTTCTTCTGGTCCATTGTTACTCTGTCCAGCTCCTTCATCAGCATAGAGGTACGACACTGCATGAGAGAAAGTATGGCAGCACCAGAGCTGCAGTCTTATTCTATTAGGCAGCCGTCACTGTGACAAGCTAATTATTCTGTTATGATCTGGATATGCTTGATGTTAAGGCTAGTAAAAAAATGACACGCTCCTTATGTTGAACACCCGCTTTGCCTTTGTAGACATTCTTTATGTCCCTCCCTCCCTCTCCTACTGGCAACTAGCCAATCAACTAATGAAAGCCCATGCCTCAGACTTGTCTCAATTACAACTCTTTAGAAGATAAGGCTCTGTTGTTTCACTGCCCCTTGACAAGTGGATTTAGATTGGATATCTCTAAAAGTCCCTGTGCGCTGTTGAATGCATTAAACAATACAATTATTCCCGGAGTGGGGGGTGGGGTGTCCCGCCGTCACATTACAGTAAAAGCCTCTGTGCATGCGGCTCGGGTAGACCAAACCATTATACAGTCATGATGGACGGTCTCGATACAATTCTGACGATCTGAAGTCGCTCCACAGGCAGGGATGTGTGGCATTAAAAGCTACATGAGTTACATGTATGCGGCATGCGGCCTGTCTGCAGAGCAGTGTCACGAAATCCCGCAGTGAGTAAGCCAAAGCTCTTCAGCCCAGAGCAGTGGAAGGGAACGACAGCTTGGAGATGTCTCAGGATGTTCTTAAATACTCTATAGAATTGTCTGCTTGGAGACAAGATGGCAGCCATTCCCCAAGAAGGAAGTTGCTTATGGCTAAGATAAAAAATGAAGGGCCTCTTCCGCTCCGACAGATGCCACAAATGCCGCTGATTGCTGATGAGGAGATGGGATCCTCAGCTCCTGCAGTACTTTGCCCCCAACTTTAACTTTCCCCTTTGAGACATAATCCTGAGAGTGACAATCAAATGGGACACGAGTAGAGGGCTCTTATGAAACAGCTGTCGCCATGAGCGATGAAAGACATGACGTGTAATGAAATGTTAATGACCACTTACAACTGAGTCCTATCATTACACATTTAAGACACTGTGGGGCATTTTTGAGTGATCTGCAGCAGACTCAGAGTTCAGATCTTATGTAACAGACATTTGCCAGTGCTTAAAAGCGAGATTCCACCCTTTTCTCTGCACGAGCACAACAGATTATACTCGTAAAATGATCACTCGCATGGCATTTGAAACACATTAGTGGAAGTCTATTTATATAAATTCGTACCCAATGGAAACATGATTCATGTCATTACATATTATCTATAAAGAGGGTGAGACCAGGATAATGAATGTTACGGTCCAATCTCTCTGATTCATGATCCTATCAAATCTATAAAATGTTACCTTCTATAGTCATCACATTTGTCCAGTGTCAAGCCTTCTAGGCCTTATTAAATAATGCATGCATTAAAATAAACTATCTATGTACTCTACAATTTGCATAGTGGTAAGAATTGTTATCTATAACTTATGATAAGCATTATTAGGATTTGCCTAAATAGCTTATAATCAGATATTTGGAGCTACTGAGCAAATGTCTGCATGCTAAGCCGCTATAATAGGGTGATTCACACTGTTAAACATGGCTGTGTTCTGTTGAAATTGTTTCAGATGTTCCTATTACCTCCCTTATTCTCCTTATCAAATCAGAATGTTCTGCCTTGACAACTAACCTAATCTTTCTGGCACTTAGAAAAATACTTTTTGTTTATTGCTGCTTGCATCTCTTTTCCAATTGGTGATGAAAGTCTGGTGACCACACAAACAAAAAGCACTACCATTACAATCCCACGAAACGACGGGCCATTAAAAGAAGAAAATAGACTGACTGTAAATCATTCAAAACAATGTGACAAACAGAAAGATATACAACAGGGAGAGCTCAGCTGTGATCAATCATGAACACAGCGGCTCCCACATAAAAGAAGAAACAAACAATTTAAAGAGAAAGTTCAATCAAAATAGACTACATATTTGTTAGTTTTTTTTCTTCTGTAGTGCTATTTATCAATCTAGATTGTTTTGGTGTACGGTTCTGTATGTTGGAGGTATTGATTATAGAGATGTCTGCCTTCTCTCCAATATAATGGCGCTCGATGGCACCCGGCCTGGTGCCCAGAGCACCAAAGAAATTGATTTGAAAAACTCAACAGCAATGTGTCTTTCATAAAAACATGCCCAGTTACTTAAGATAATCCACAATACCTGCTGTGAGCAGTTTAATGCAGGAACTAGCAAGCTAGCAAACTACAACTGTTAGGCTAGCCCAGTGTTGCTAGGTGAGCTAGCCATATGCTTCCATTCATCTGCGTGGTGAGACAGTTCATGAGTGTAATTCGGTAAAAAATCAAATGGTTCCTACAAGAAACTGCTCACAACAGGGTTTATAGATTACATTAAAAAGCAGCGTATTTTGAGAATAAAACATTGTTGAAAAGTATTGTTTGGCGCATTGAACACCACAAACTGGGTGCCATTTAGTAGTCTTGGAGGAAAGGCAGACATCTTTATGGCCGATATCTCCAACTCACACCAAAAACATTTATATTGATAAATGGCACTACAAGTAAGAGGAAAAATATGTTTTCTTGGATTTGGGGGAAGATCTTCCTTTAAGGCAAATGAAAAACAATTAAACAATAGGTGTAAATACCACAGCAGAGGCTATTTATTTGTATCTTAAATAGGAGGTATTTGTGTGTGTATTGTAGTCTCCAGTGCATGTTTGATGGCTGTGTGTATGACCCCATGACATGATGTCACGTCCACCAGCGTGAAGCCTCTAGTGTCGGCTGAGAGCTCGGGTCAGCAGGGATCACCGTTTCTGCTCTGCGACCTACAGAACCATCATCAATCTCTTTTAACTGCTGACAAACCCTACAGTGGTACACCTCACCACGCTCCATCATAGCACACTCTCACATTATTAGGTCCCACATTGAGCATTTTTGAGGTGGAAATATAAACATTTCCTCCGTAATGTAAGGAAATAATAATGTAAGAAAATCTACGAAAGCTACCAAGTGAAAATAATACAGTGTCCCTTTACTGAAACATTAACAAATTGCACTAGTTCTACATGAATCTAATAATAATCATGGGACTAATGGAAAAAATCAAGGGCCAATATTTGCAGGATGAGTCATTCCATCCAGGTTGGACAGGAATCAGATTACTATGTATCTTCACAAGCAGATACCAGAGTCTGTATCCAGTGAGTAGTGGTTTCCATGGAGACAGTTAACAATCCAGCTGCCTACACAATTGCCCCCGCTAGTGTGCACGCTCTTATTAAAGTCTTTTAAGTATTCATCTTTTCATTTATCACTTTATTACTTCTGATGGAAGATAATATGCCATGGTAATTCAATACAGCTAAATTGGATTACACATTAAAATGCTAATGTGAAGCTACTTGACAATTTCATTAGGTACATTTATTTTGGTTGACCAAAGATAACCTCCTTAACATTTTAGTGCAACAACATTTTGGATGTCTTGATATATGACAATAGGCAATATGTTTGCCTAGTTGAAAAAGGGTGAATGTCTAAGGATAACATGGACAAATATTAAATGTAGCCAGGAGATCATGAAAGACTGCATAAGAAGAATATTTTTACCAATATATTTCTACCTCTGATTATTTTATAAATAATCTCCTCGAGAGTCAGACGATATGACCACATGGGAATGTGTACACCTGCTTAGTATTATAGGAGTATAGGTAGACTTAGACCGTCTATACTGTGCTACACTGAAACTTTTCTTAGGAAAATGATTTCCGACAAAGATAAATAGCCGTTGGGTATTTGACAATGTGCTCTGACTCTGAGCTTCATAACATAACTCATATTTCTTTTTTCTTTTTCTCTCTGCAGTACTACTGGCTGTTTGTGCTCTCCAGAGGCCTGGTGGGTATTGGAGAGTCCAGCTACTCCTCCATCTCTCCCACCATCATAGGAGACCTGTTCAATAACAACAGCCGCACCATGATGCTCTCTGTCTTCTACCTGGCCATCCCACTGGGAAGGTAAGTGCCAGACGGAGAACCACATTTCTATATTTAGAGGTGTTCCTGTAGACATTTTATGAAACTATAGCTTAGTGCTTTCATCCAATCCAGCAGGTTCTTTACATGTTAAATCCAAAGGAGAATGAGCATCGACAATTTAAATTATCCTCACATAGAAAAAGGTCAGGCTAGCTCCTATCTGGCTCTTTATTTTCTCCAGACACACAAAGAGCCCTCTGTAGAAAGAAAAGTAGAACTTACAATTGGCTGTGTGAAGCTTAAAGGAGGACGAGAGGCTTGTTGGGTTGTGGCGTGGAGCTGTGAGAGTATAGGTATTATTAAGCTCAAATCCCCTGCCTATTCAGTTCATTCAATCAGAAAGAGGGCCACAGGGAAAAAACAAACAAAGCCAAGTAATAAAAGATGAATATACCGGTGGATGCCACTTGAGGTTTATCGTTTTATACAGTGCCTAACAGTATGCGTCTGAGCAGCAGCATCCTGCAGTGTTTTCCAGCTCCTGCACGCAGGATCACAGACAAGGAAATGTTAAGTAAATAGGGAATATGCTGCTCTGTAGATTGTTAACATAAAAATCGGTTGGCAACTTCCAATTAGTTGCATTGTTAAATAATAGGTTGATTATTTTCTTGATTAATGAATTAGTTAGAAAATGGCATTCAGTGTTTCCTTGAAGCCCAACTTGATGCCCACAAATGTTTTGACCAAAACACAAAGACTTTCATTTTTTTGTAACAGAAGAGTAAAGAAACCTGCTAATATTTACATTTAAGAATCTGTAATCAGAGAATGTTGAAATGTATTTCTACTCAAACCATTTAATTAATTACACAATAGATGACAATTCATGTAATAATTTACCACTAATCAATAAATCATTGCCGCTTTATTGCCGCTTCTATTGGCTGATTCGAGACAGTTGGACAAAAAAGGATGTGAAGTCTAAACTGAGTGGTTGTGTAATGCCAAAATGTTTGGGTCACAGTAAACTGCCCAGCAACAGAGACAATAGAAGGTGAAAGAGTGGGTCTCAGTAAAGTGCATTCAAACATCCTATTCAGTCTCCCACTTGTTTGTACCAAGGTTGTTATGACCGTTTCCAGGAAATGACCTCAGGAATTAGACCGGATTCACAGGAAATGGATTCCCCTGCTCTCCCTTTCCCCCCATAATTTAAACTTGGCCACAGAGACAGCTTTCTGTGCCGCGCCGGTGCTTGATCTGAGCATATCTTTCATGCTCCAGTTTTATTGTGGCTGTTGAACTTTCCAAACACTCTCTGGGTCAACTCTGATAAAATTAGCTGTTAGTCACCCACTGGAAATATCATATGCTGTCCGAGCCCATTTATACTGCTGTGTTATTTTTGGAGATCTAATCATGGAAGCAGACTGTTTCCCCTTTGCTCTGTGTGTGTATGTTAAGCCAGTTAAACATGTTTTGGCCATTTAGCAGCCACTGCTGATAAGAACCCACTGTTAAGTCATTGGCAACATTTGCTTTTTATCTGGTTAAATAAAGGTAAAATTAAAAAAAAAAAAAAAAAAATGTAAAACAGCACCTCCTGAGGCACTGTACATGCAGAGAAATAGGTTCTCTGAAAATCAGGAAGTCTGACTGACTTTTACTGGCTATTTCTAGTTAAGGAACTACAATAGGATGGGTGACAAATATAGTGGGAAAACCACATGAAATGTCTAGGTATTTAGTTACTACATCTTTAGTACTTGAGGTAAAGGAACACCATATTTTTTAAAGATACTCCCGCATTTGGTTTGTTTATGATTGTGGTAAGGTGGGCTGGCACTAAAAATTAAAAGTCAATGTACAAGAAAAATAATTTTCGTCCAACAGTTTTAAATACGAAAAAGGCAGTTTATTATCACATAAAACAGAGACAAGTAGGAAATAGCAAGCTGGAATCAGATGTTCATTTTTGCTTTAATAACGACTAAAATGAAATAGTTCAGGTTATACTGAACACAAACAAATATCTTTACTGCATTGTTGTGTTGAGATTATGACCACAGAGTTAGTTATCTGTCCTTCAGTTTACTCTACAAATCTTCTTTGTCCTTCAAATGCTGATGCTATCCAGCAGCGGAGGCTTATCACAGCATTAGGGGCGCTTTATCTGATCAGATCTGGCAACATTTTCCTCAAAGCATTTAACTGCAATGTCCCTGTATGTACAAGACACGCTTAAACTCAAGTAAAATGTGGTAGAATTCAATAACACTGTGACAACACACAGCCTCTAGCCTTCTGACAACCGTGTTACTGGAGCGCTCTGTTGGCTCGTGGGCGGTACCTTTGCACCTGCATTTCGTGCACGAATCACACTTCCATAAATAGACCAACGAGATAAGTAGCTACCGGTGGTTTGATCAGTTCATCACTGTCATAAGCCCTCCATGTCAAGCAACACTCAACGCCGCAAACAAAAAGGATATAGGCAGATGTGGATTATGGGCTCATTTACTTTATATACTGTGTACTGGGTGAAGCAGGTTATGAGCTATTTATATGATGTGTTGTGTCTTTCTGTCTCTCTGCAGTGGGTTGGGCTACATCCTGGGCTCCAGTGCCAAGGTGGCTGCAGGAGACTGGCACTGGGCACTGAGGGTAAGGTCATCCCCCAACACTGCACACAAACATGGACACAACTTTAGACAGATGAAGAGCCCCTCCTGCAGGGCTCGGCATTGAGGACTGTCTTGAATCTGGGGTCAGAAGGGTCAGTGGTGGCAGTAGCACCTCCGGGATGGGGGGGGGGACAGCCCTGACATTGTAGGGAAGTGACAGAGCAGAGAGAGCTCAAGGCTCTCACATACATCCACATCATCAGCAGCTCAGTCTCCAGCCTCCTAAAAAACCCTTTCTAAAATATAATCAAAATAATGAAACATCAAACTCACTCAACGTCACCTTATTGACGTTGAGTGACGTTCAAGCTAAAAGGCTGTGTTTTGTAATGTTTTTCCGTCCTGATCCTAAAGTGGATTTGCATAATGTTAAGTTACGCTGTGCTAATTAACATTAGTGCTTAGGTTAGCTCTAGGTATGTTGCTTTAATCATTTAAAACATGTGTTATGTTTTAAACAAAAGAGAACAATGGAGTCCATGGGTGGGAAATGACGCATTTCAGGAACAGATGCTTTTCAAAGAGCGCAAAAATCCCTTGCAACAAATAGCCACCTACATACTGTATGTTGCCAAAGAAGGCACCAACCTAGCATGAAGACACATTTTTTCTTCATACTGGCTCAACATTGAGATGGTTCCATTTTAATTAAAGGCTGATTCAAGCTCTCAAGAAAATGTATCTGAAGAAAATTGGTGAGATGTCCAACCTTGATAAGGTATTGCTTTAACAAAAAATCCATATTGGACAGTTGTTGTTATTTTTGCAGTAGCACACTTACTGCATACTTAAAAGCAGACACAAGTGTTAAGTCAGGACCATAAATCACTGTTGTCATAGCATTTCTTTACAAGGACTCCAATGAGTACCTGAGACAAAGCGTTTAGAGGCATACCAGCAGTAATGGAGAGCACCAATGAACGGTCTAACGGGACTCCCCAGGAGCAGCCGACTTTGGGGTCAGCTTTTAAAAATCCTAAAAACAAAGTATGACCTGACTCTCATGAACCGACATTTTAAAGGAAGACATTAAACATTCCCTCAGCATGGCGTGGAGGAAGGGATTCCTGGAAGTGACAGCTCCCTAGGTTTAAGGAAACAGGACACACGTCCATTTCTTCTTGTCTTTGTGGGGTATTAAAAAAAACAAAGAGCGGGGCAGTTTGTTCCACAGCAGCCACAATGACATTCCAATAAAACAATCTCAAAGCCAATTAATCACCGGTGTGGCATGTAGAGGAAAACAAATACCAAGACATGAAACAGATTCTGTGAGGCGGTATCCTGCTTTAAGGAAAAAAACACTGCAGCGCTTCCGTTTGTTTTTGCCCAACATGTTCCAGCTACCTTGTTTTGCGAAATGTAGTCGATAAGAAAGAATAGGTGGAGGGGGGGGGGGGGGGCCATGCATAGATACAGTATGAGGAGCAGGAGAGGGCAACAGCTAATTTGTTTGATTACCAACCATCCATGCAGGGAGTGTCTAATGGGCCCTGTGGGAGTGGGGGTCAAAGACCACAGACTTCTGGTGTCTTGTTGAATAATGATGAGGGGACATGAGTGCAAAACTTGTCCAAAACAAAGCAAATATTAATTTTATTTAAAATGAGCCCGCTCTGTTTCTTCCATTAGGCTGCCTCTCGCTGAAAGCATATTATAATACGCCGATGTGGATCCAATTAAGTTGCTCCACACAAGTAGAAGGAGAAAGGAGACATTATAGGAAAGGAAATTATCAGTGCTGTGTTATCCCGCACCTGAGACCATACCCACCGCATTGAACCGCATAATCAGCAATGTTATGAGCCACATCAAACTCAGAATGAGTCCCTCAATGGAAAACCAGTGCACACATACACACACCTACACACACACCTTTTACTGTACCCCAGTAATTGTGCATATAAATGGATTTTATAAGCTACAATAATATAAAATGATGAATACCCCTGACAGATGAAATTGTTTTGTTTTTTTGTGAGCAATTTGAATTACTCTACCAAATCCTCCCCCACACATCCCATCCTGCTTTGTGTCCTCCACACAGACACACACATGCACAAACATGCTACCTCAGAAAGGATGATAGTGAACATAATAGCAGGTGGGCACTTATAAAGGGTTTCACCTTGGTGCAGAGCTCACAAAGCAGCTTTCAAAGCCCAAAAGCTCTTCTTGAGTCTTGTATGCTGATGCGCACAGAAAAAAGCCCCCCCCACACACACATAAATGCACAACAGAGTAAGCAGAGGGAATGTTCTCGGCTCCAGAGGGCTTGTATAGGATGTCAGGCGTATCGGCAAACAGTGGCCTTCCATTCAGATTGTAAACACACTTTTCTTTGTCCTGAATCTCATGTCTGCCCCCCTCTCAACCACACACACTGTGAACATCGTGTCAGGGAGATGTGTTAATACGATCCAAAGCCTCATATGTCTTTCTTGCCCTGATAGGTGTCCCCAGCTTTAGGGATCATGGCAGGAACCCTCATCCTGCTCTTCGTGCCCGAGCCAAAGAGAGGCGCCCCTGACCAGATGGGATACATCAAGACCCGCACCTCCTGGCTCTGTGACATGAAGGCACTCGCCAAGAAGTAAGGCCGACTATCCCTTTTAGAGAACATACAAGGTTTAGGAGGTATTGACCTGTTAACCTGTTCAGAGATTAGGCCCTAACATCGTCTATTTTACCCCAATAGATAAAATACTGTATAGCCAGGCATGCAAAAAAGAAAATTCTTCACATTTTGAATATGAATCATCACATATTTGATCTTTTGTACAGGCGTTTTTATTTTGTATACAAATTGGATTAGTCCATTAAAGTCAATCATTAAGTCAATCATCATCAAATTAATCAACTATTTTGATCATTTAAAGGAATACTTCCACCTCAAATGATATTTTTGTATCATTTACTCACCCCATTTAACCTTGAATCCTTAAAGAAGACTTTGTTTTTCTCGCAAAGTTGATTATTTTATAAATGTACTTAAGGATAAATATTCTCTTAAGTCATTCAAAATGCTGAACATTAGCTGAATCCAACTTCTCAAATGTTTAACACAGTTGTTCTTTTTATTGAACACGCTTATTACATAAACACATTCACTCCTGGTTAGCCTATACTAGCCATTAGAGGCATAGGAATGTCTACACAGGACACAGTGAACCAGTATCATTCACTCAGCAGCTCTCTGCAATACTGCTGAACTGTGAAGGCAGCTTTGCATCCTGGACACTGTAGGCCCTTGTTATTATATGACCTGCGGGCTAGACTCCTTTAAGAAATGTTATAAACTCTACTGAGATGTTGCCATGTACATTTATGAGAGCTCAGTGCGACTTTTAGCTTTACACAGTCTTCCACATTCACAACCAATGGAAAGTGTTAAGTGTTATTGTTGTCTCCTGAGTAAAACTGTCAACTTTAGCTGCATATGATTTCAGCACCAGAGCTGCTTTAAATTAAAATATTCTCACCTGCAAGATAATGCTTATCTTGTATAACCTCTCTGTTATTAGATGGGATTTACAAAGAGATAGAGACGGAGAGAGTGTGACAGAAAACAGTCGCTTGTTTATGTTTGCCTTTTGTGAGCCAAGATAATCACTTGTTCTAATCGCTTTGTTTCTTTGTCTGGCTAGTCGGAGCTACGTGTTCTCCTCCCTGGCATCCTCCTCGGTGTCCTTTGCCACTGGTGCGTTTGGTATGTGGATCCCTGTGTACCTGGCCAGAGCTCAGGTGGTCCAGAAGACGGCAGAGCCCTGTACCACTAAGGAGATTTGCAGCAGCACAGACAGGTGAGAGGTTAATGACTAAACACATAAGACAGGCTTTGAAGTCACTGGTGTAATGTGAAACCTAGTAAAAGAGAAAGATAACCAGCATTGTGTTCACAGCTGGATGACCTGGAATTAACTACAATAGAGATATAGCTGTACAGTCTAGTTCATCTACAGGGAAAAACGCTTATAAGATCACGGTTAAAACAGCTGCTTGCTAACTGAAACTTCCTTTTAGTGATTGTCTACAAACTTGCATGGAATATATGTTTAATAACAGTCTCTTCTCTGCTCTCCTGTCCAGCTTCATCTTCGGGGCGATCACCTGTGTGACGGGTCTGCTGGGCGTGGTCATCGGGGCGGTCACCACGCGCCTGTGCCGCCAGAAGACAGAGCGAGCCGACCCGCTGGTGTGCGCTGTCAGCATGCTGGGCTCGGCCATCTTTATCTGCCTTATCTTCGTGGTGGCCAAGAAGAGCATTATAGGAGCCTATGTAAGACTCACTTCCTGTCACTATTCTGTGTATAATATGTGCGACAGAGGAACTTTAATCAAACAATGGAGAGGGGTCGTGATAAGGACACATTTTGCTTTCCTATTTCCAAGAATCAACAGCGCCTCAGTGAGAAATGTCTCTCTACAAAGAGTGATTATGTTAATTAAGGATTAGCCTCTGAGGCTGAGAATTAAAAGGGAAAGTCTGGTATCCAATCTAACAAGAGAAGGCTTAGTAAAAGCTCATCAGGTGGAATAAAACATGTTAAAGACACCTTGCCTAATGCCAGATCCTCTCAGGCCCACAGGCAGTGAGTGGGTGTCGCTCCTCATAATGTGTAATTGAAGGTTAGATTGAGACAGCCTCAGGAGCCGCTGCAGGTAGCTGAGGCTCATACCTCATCCAGCCAAAAGTTAAAAGTCTCAGGCTAATGCCCAGAGCGCGTGAAAGTCTGATTGCCTTGTGAAGCAGGAAAGGGTGCAACTTAAAAAACCCTGCCCTGAAACAATGCACTCCGAGCTAAGCACCAATTTTCTCACTCTTATCAGAGACATGGGAATAGGAACTGACTCTCAACAACTTGGGCGGTAATACTGCTGGAAACTGGAAAAGATGGAAAATATTTCCCTGCGTGTAAAGGAACTTGCTAACCTTGGCATGCTTGAACCCTGACTTCCTTGCTGTATATGCGAGGTGTGTTCAAGTATGTAATCTTATCTTGGACAATGTCTGTTATAGGACTGCGATAACATGCCATTTCAGTCAACAAAGCAGTATTAAATAATAACCTTATTAATTAATTGGAGAATGCTGGTGGAAACAGCTTTTTAACAAAGTAGTTACTAAATGATAAATCACTTGCTTAACTGATGATTTTAATTTAATAAGTTCAAATATTAACTCAGATAAGATCAAAAGCCCACATTTATTTATTGTTTGACTGAAGAATGATTTGAGACATGAGGTGCTGAAATGTCCATATTCATTATTAAATAATTACAGATCCGTCCAACATTATTTTATATATAATATATTAATCTTCTTATTAACACATTTGGGAAAGATTTTTGCTATTAGATTTAGCAATAAGGGTTAGCCGATTATAGCCCCTTAGTATTGAGATAAGTAGAGATATTTTTCAAACAAGTGTAATAGAAGTTCAATCAAACAGGCTGTAACTTTTAAAAGGTTGCCTTCTTCTCAGACTAATCTACTGTAAACTATCAAATGATCGTACAGTACAGCAGCAGTTGTAAGTGATCAGCTCAGGTTTCATGGCAAGCACCGACAGATGTGTCATGTTATAAGGCGTGACGCAGCTGTAACCAGCGACCCTTCGCAGCTGTTGTCTCGTCAACACACAGCTAATCTGAGGAAAGGCCGGGCTTCTCTCTTCTTAGGGGCAACACGTCGGTCACGGTGTCTGGTTCGCAGCTCTCAGGACAGACTTGTCTAAATCTCCTCTGTCAGACTCCCTCTGTAGCTTTATGTGTTGTACTGTAGATCTGGCCCACTGGCAGAGGGGTTATTCCCCTGCAGGAAACACACATAAACCTCCCGTATTAATCCGTACCAGACGAAACCTGGCAATACAGACATACACAGAGATTCCACTGCAACCAAATCCCTCTGGGTCTGTTTCTAAGAAAGCAACACTAGCTGGAACCGACCCGTGTATATACAGTAGCCTACATGCACAAATAGTTCAGTGTATATCCAATCCATCATGTTATTTAAAGTTTCTGTTCCACCCATTCAGAAGTGGAACATAAATTAATATAGTGCAGCTGGATCTAAACTTAGGAAGTGTTAAAATATGTCCTTACAAGAATAAACAATCCTTATCATCCTGTGGTGTTTTTCAGCTCGTGGGCCTGAAATGAAGGCCTCCATGTATAATTGGGTCACTGCATAATAACATGTTTTTAAACCACAGCAACCGAAGCACTTTTATTCAGCAGAGGATTCCCACACACAATGCTGCACAAAACCTCCAGGTCTGGTTACCAGTCCTTTGTGCAGTTGATCTTAATTAGCACCTCTAAATGGACCATTCTTTTTCTGCTTCATTTAGGTCTGCATCTTCATAGGAGAGACGCTGCTTTTCCTAAACTGGGCCATTACGGCGGACATTTTAATGGTAAGTACTGGAAACCTATACCTATATAGTGGGTCACTGGAAATTCCCGCAAAAAATGGCGGTCATCCAATCAGTCAGTTTTGATAATTATGTAAGTGGGCTACAGTTTGGGTGGGGGATGATAATTACTGCTCATGGAAACAAAAAGGGGAGCCCCTTCTCTCGTGTATGGTTTGGTATCTTGTGAAGTGAAGACTTAGACTTTCAGTAAGGTGTACCAACCAGTGCCTGCATTTGTAATCAGTTTGGAGACTGGGGTGAGTATGTAGAGAAAGAGATAGACTCTGACTGACAGATATGCCTGCGGTGTTCTGACCCACTGAGGTGGGCTCTGCGTACATAATTGAAGGCAGCACGAGCCGTTTTAACATGGCTGACTGAATCTTTCTACCTGTGTCATCATCATCTCATGTGGATTTTTTACCCTCCGTTCCTCTCTGTGTGCAGTTTGTCGTCATCCCCACGAGGAGAGCAACGGCGGTCGCCTTTCAGAGCTTCACCTCGCATCTCCTGGGTGACGCAGGAAGTCCGTACCTGATAGGCCTGGTAAGATTTCTCCAGAAGAGGATGTTTTCTTATCCCAGTTCGTAAAACCCTTCAGCGTTTCTGTGAGCACCTTATACATGCACACACCATGTATTCAGATACCAGTTCAGCGCTAGCTTTAAGTGGGCCAGTGCAAAGTGAGGTACAAGAGGAGCTTTTAGCACACGTCTCGGGAGGGCTGGTGAACAGAGTTGTGATTTCACCAGCGCTCTTCAGGCTGTCAGTGGTGTTTTCTAGTAAATCAGGAGGGGCCGGTGTTGCTGTATCCGATTGGTCAGGAGATGAGAGAGAGTTGTTCTTACTAGGAGGCTAGGCCCCTCAAGGTCAGAGTCAATCAACCCACAACAGCCCCCTTAACCAAACAAACCCAACCATCTAAACTGCATGCATACGTCCAGGAGGCCAGATTACGAATGCTGCTTGCTATTCAATGGACTGTAAAACAAGATCCACCGTCAATCAGCATACTTCTTATTCCAGATAGAGAATGAACTATTCAGAAGTGAAATAGTAACTCTGTGGAGGAATGCATTCTGTTTGCCTTTTTTGGGAAGCAATATACAACACGCAAGTGTGAAATTACACCCATATGACAATCTTTACATCATATCAAGCTTTTTAAATAAGTATTTATGATGTGCCAGACAAGAGAAAAGACTGCATTAGTGTCATATGTTTACATTGTGTTTTATTTGTTGTGCCTCTGGCTCACAGCCTAGGTAATTTTTACAAAGGCAAAGTGGAAGTGTTTGATTAGTGAATCAAACTGATCCTGTAGATGCTCTGTCGGGTCCTGACAGGCTGGCAGCAGACGCAGCTGCTTGTCGTGCTGCATTCAAAGTATACTGCTTTTCTTTTCCTCCTTAAATGGAGATGTTGAACTATTGTTGAATCCAGATAAAAGGAGCAGTAAATTATCTCCGAGTACTGACAAGCTCTTCAAAAGACTAAACAAAACTAGTATTGAAAAAAAATCAAAATCCTGGGAAGAGAATCTGGCTCCATGGTGCTTTTTGTAGATCAAATAATACCCACTGTCATCTTCTATTCTACAAATATACTATTAATACATCAAGAGTTGCAGTCATTTGAAATACTGCTCATTCTGGATCACCCCAATTTAATTGATATGTTGAAAGCAGTTATTTAAACTTGATTCATAGAAAATATAAATACAGCAATTATGATATTTCATTTTGCCTATACAAGATTAAGTGCACTATATACAGGAAATAACCATTTGCCTTGTAAAGAGCTATTGGTGCAATGTCTTGACCAAATAATTGTGTCAAACTCTCTGTGTGTGTGATGTAATCAGAGCTTCAGTTAGTGCATGTTAGTCCTTGTCGTCGTGCCCAACTTGCTAGCTAATGGCCGCCACTGTGCGCTGCGCTCATACAGCTGACAACAGCCGACTCATGGCGCCGTTTCAAGTGTGACACGACACCCACATCCCGGTTTGAGCAAAGTGAATTAAAGCTAACATTGTAAGCAATGTTGCTGTTGTTTGCACTGTAAGCGCTGTTAGTATCGTTAGCTGGTAGCATTGTTAGCTGTTAGCCACCAGCTCAGCCATAAACAATGGTGTTAGCTAAATGGAAATAGTCCCTAATCCCAGATGTCCTTATTTCGAACCTTTAAATCAGCAATACAGAAAATGATACACATTAGCTTTTTTTTGTTTCTCATATTTGCTGCCTCACAGCTGTTTTATGTAAATTAATTAATAACTAAATATATTTGAGTTCAGGACTGTTAAAGACAAAATAAGCAATGTAATGATATCACTTTGGAACTTTGAATAGCCAATTTTCACACACAAACACGCACACACGCGCACACGGTCGTACACTGCCAGTCAGAATTACCCTGTCTTGGCCCCACAGTAAGCCAGTCACCCCGGTCCTCCATCCAGCCTCCGGGGTTACGACTCTGCTCTGAGTGACACACTGAATGTCCGGGGGTTTCTCACTCTTCTGCAAACCTCCTGACCATCAAGGCCCAGAATGCTCCGAGTGCGTCACCACTCACTGCCTCAGTTCCTGCACTGAGGTTTTGCACGCGAGTGTGATGGACTCGTCGTGACGCACTCTGAGCGCAGGCAAACATACAGTCAACTCATGCAGCCTGGCTCAAATCTTGAGAGAAAAGTAAAGAATCTCAAGAAAAACAGACTCGTGGTTATTGCTAAGCAACCACAAGAGAAAGTAAGCCAGTGATTCAGTCATTTTGGTACACAATTGTGTTTTCTTACATGTGCACCAAACAGTCCTGCAGATGAAGTGCTCCTTTCTGCAAACCAATGTGGTGTTCGCAGTGTACCATAGATGTATTTATGTGGGAACGCCTGCAGATATAAATGCAGCACAACCACCAACTTCAACTATAACACATCACCACCTCCTGTTGTGTAAAAAAGTGCATCTGAAATTCTCCTCAGTTTATGCCAAGATCCCCTTCCATCGGCACGTAGACCAAAGCAGTTGTCACATAAGAGTCCCTGGAGAACCACATAATGGACTCCTCCTTACTGCATGAGTAGGACATGGCTGCAGGCTGAGTGGGTGGCAGGGGAACGCCGGGAACAATCTCTCAGCAATCTCCCAAGAAATGCCTTCTAGCTTGATAATTAGACATGCAGCAGTTCACTATGTATTTTTAGTTAAGCTGTACTGGCAGGCAATTTACTTTACCTGGCGAGATTCCTCTGCACAGGCCACACACAGCTGCTTTGTACACCACATTTTGTCATATAGATTTATTTAACTTTTTCTTCCACCATCCTTTCTTTCTCTTCATGCATGCACACATGAACACATACACACGGTGATACACTCCAACATCCTTCTGTCAGCAGTTCTGCAGCTCTCTCCGTAGAGAATCTCATTCTGCTGACACTAACATAATCAATGTGCTTCAGCCAGGATGACCTATGGCTGCTCAGACTCTCTCTCACAGACTAGAAGCTTTTACATGTACCTGATGTTACGCATACATAACATAATCTCCTAAAAGCTACTATCGGCAGCCTCCTCTACATCACGATTGCTGTACAGTGATCTATGCTGATTGGGAGCTGCCTTTTGAGTGACACTGTGAGGTAGAAATGGTCACTTCACACCCACCATTCTCCAGCTGTTGTTTTCCTCAGCGCAGAAGCATGACAGACTGAAAGCCTTGGACAACAATATGAGCTATTAGCTGTGAAATACTGCCTCGCTTAAAACAAAAACGGGGCATCTTACATCATGCCGTTACTTTCGTCTGTTGCTATGATGAAACATCGAGAACTCACCCTGCATGTGTCGGTGTGAGTTCATAAGAGCATGTTGTATGTCAGTGCTTGACAGGATATTTTAAGAACTTTTGGTTGATGATTAGTTTTAAAAGAATCTCTCCTCCCTTCTGTGTGTCTGTGTTTGTTCATGTGCAGATTTCGGACGGCCTTCAGCAGAGCTACGCTACATCAGCGCTTTGGCGGTTCCTCAGTCTAGGCTATGCCCTCATGCTCTGTCCCTTCATCATCGTCCTGGGGGGCATGTTTTTCCTGGCCACTGCACTGTTTTTCCTGGATGACAGGGAGAAGGCCGACAAACAGTAAGTGACTCAGACGTTGTTTGAGTAACTCATCATTGTTACATTTGGTATAAGTCATTCATTCTTTAGATATTTAAGATTGCCTCCACTGACTTTCTGAGTAAGAGCTTCACAAATCCAAACACGCCACTGCAGTGCAGGAGGCTTGAAAAGTAGCAATAATATTGTTGTTATTCTGTCAGACACAAATAAGTTCTACACATTATCTTGACAAGGCTATACTCTGTACCCTAGCAACGTATCCTTAACGGTTATATGATTTCTTATATAAAGGTTATTTAAAAGTTATACTACTAAGCACAAGCAACCCATGCATGATTTGGAACTAATTGTGTTTTGGGTTAAAATTAGGGTTAGGGCTTGATCATTCATTCATCCAACCCAACTTTCGCAGAGTTGTTCACTATTTATTCTACTTCACTATTTCCTTAGAAGCCCTCACGTCTGGAGTTATAAACGTACTAAAATAGATAACTTTTCGTAGATTTAAGCACAAAAAGTGAATGAGAACAGTCTGACCCTGAGGTGATGGTGGAGTTTGACATGTGTCAGGGACAAGCTGCATAGTGAAGCCAACAAAGGTGCTAACCCTGCCCTATAAGGCCCGGGAGCCAATAGAAAGTCCCTGTCAGCTCAAAGTGCTCCAGCGCTGACACAAGCTGTTCTTGCCATCAATTTCTTAAAGTGTTCTTACTTAGACTTGTACCAGCTGCCTCCCCTTTCATTCATGCATTCATATTTTCCTCTTAGGAACCCCAAAAAATGTGAACTTAGTTCACAGTAGCTAGTCATTGCCTTAAAAGGCAAAAACAAACACACACTCATCCTCTTTCAGATGGTGAGACATGACTTCTTGTTTTTTTGGGACTATTTTTTCCTTCTTTATTATCGCATTGACTTACTCCCCTGGTGCCAGCGCTCTCAGAAATGACTTCCTTCCTGTTGAAGATGAGGGACATTTTTAGACAGGATGGCAGTTCTTATGTCTGACGTCTGTCTGCTGTCGCCTTGTCTTCACCCACTGGAGTTAGCCGCTTGTTCTTCCCACACTAAAACCCCATGAAGACAGATTTAAGAGCAACTTAAGCAGAATAAGCCTATTTGTAATCTTACGTTTACTGTAGAGGAAAACTAAAATGTGTAAAAGAAGTGTGGAAACTAAACTTGAAGTATCAGTGGACTTGCTGCATTTTATAATCCTGGGGTCAAGCTACCATCCAAGCCGTTAAATATGTCCTCTGTGTGTTGTTAATATACACTTTTAAAGGGGTCTCGCAAGGCCACCACTAAGCTGTGTTGTGGCTTCTATTGAGCATGGTGTGGGGGGGGGGAAACAAGAGAAATGCGGAACAATGACAAAAGAAAAGTCACACTCTTGCTGTCGTGCCAGAAAAGATACTAGTTTGTGGTCCAATCTGTGGCTTAAGCTTTCTCACCACATTATTGCAAACTGTGGGCAGATGGCACATGTTCAATCAAACTATATCTAACCACAGCCCCTCCACATTCACACAACAGATGGAGTAAAAGATTTCGAATACGAAACAGAAAGACTTGAAGGCATGGAATGTTGTTCCTGTAAGTCCTTTTTCACTAATACTATCCTTAACATAGATATGTGGAGGGCGGCTGTTTGTTTTTTTACCACTACATTTTAAAGCTTATAATAATTGTACACATTTTGGTTCCCAAACTAAGGGCTCTATCACCCCTAAATAAATGATTTACTTATGTTTTATAGATCAGTTATGCATCATTAATAAAGAATGACTTTTGGTTTACTAGGTTTTGTAAAGTCTCTCTGTCTTTTAAGTCTATTGAGAAGTAAAATCATTAAACCATCAATAAAAAGTCAACAGCAAGTCATTAATACGCGATAATAAACAGCAAGTTATCAGCTACAAATGGTAATTAGTCATTTATACATGGCAATGAACAGCAATTCTGCAGTTACAAGTGGTAATAATTCATTCATCTGGGATAATTAATGGCAAGTCTGCACTTTTAAATGGTCTACTAAGAAAATATAGACATATATGATAACACATACTGTATTACCAAGAATCCTACCCTACTTGTTGCTTGTATGCCTATAGATGGGTTAACCATACACCAGCTTGTTAGATTAAGGTGTACGCAAAGCAAACACACGTTTTTAATACCTCACATAGTATAATTACAACCTCGACAAAACTGTACCGATTTGTACGCAGCATCACAATGGAGAAAAAACTCAATCTTAAACAGAAGCAGCTCTTATGTAAGAAGCTGCGAACAGCACCTCAGGGACCAAGACAACATCCACAACTTTGTACAACTAGGCTTGTTTCGTGGCTGTGATATTTATAGATTCCATTCACGCTATAAAGCCCACGATTTATAAATTCCCCTGACTTTATCGAGCGCTTCGCGTCTTTTTCCCCCTTCCTTTGAGTCTGTCCTCAGTTACTCAGCGCTATTTATAAAAGGCGCGTAGCCGAACAAGTTACTCACTGGAGCGCGCCTTTCTATTTTCAGCCTTAAATAGTGCTTTATTATTTCTAGGTTGTTAGCTTTTTTTTGGGCTGCAGGGTTGCCATTAATAGCTCCGCTTCAGCGCATGCCCTCCATTTATTTTCCCAGTCTACATTTACACTTAGTGAAGTGTGAGAGCAGAATTGTCTCATCTCCCATGCCAGTGCGCCTTCATAATACAGATTGAGTCTGGGTCAGGGCAGAGTGAGCACTGCAGGCTTGGAGATTGTGCTGACTGACAGACCGAAGAAGACAGTTACCATGTGATGAGTGAAATTGGGAGAAATTGATGGAAAAAGAATAAATGTTGAAAAATAGTGTGAGATTATGTGTCTGAGAGCATTTTTGCATCTTTGATGTCTAAAAACTATTTCTCTCTTCTCAGGTTGAGCCAGATGACGAGACAACCCTCCACAGTCAAGGTATGACCAGGTAAATTGCTTTTTCTCCCACAGACGCTTTTAGTGCTTTTCACATCAGCAGTTTAAGTGGTTGCTAATAAAGAGACGGTCTTGGAACATCAACATTTATAGTGCTCTCTTCTCATTACCTTGGAATTATTATGTAGAGCTCCTTTCCTTACGAGGAACAAAGATCTGAAACAAGATTTTGAAGTTCTTAAAAGGCACTTTGACCTGAGGCCATCCAGAGCTTAATGACAGTGTAAAGGTGACATGATTACACACAGATGATTGATCTAAGAACCATTTCCCATCCCATTGTAATCAGGGAGTGTCCAGGCATTCTTGGAGTAGTGGTTATTTGACCAACCATCAGGCATCTTATCATAAAGCGAGCTGCCTTCCCTCCTTCCTGCCTTTATCAGACTCACACACATGGTACAAAACCTCTCTAATTATTAACCAAGCATAGAAAAGACACAATAATTGGCAGCATACCAGCCAACTCTGCACTGCAGGACAATGGGGGGCTACTGTAGTTGTCGGTAAAGGATAACAAGATTAAACTCTGACTCACTGATTAGAAGGACAAGGGATCTGTTGTGACTTATTCGTAAAGGTTATCACGCTAAGAGAAGAGTTCAAGGTTTTTGCCCCTTCCTTTGTAATCTGCGCTTTTTTTTTTCTCTAAACATTTGTCAAAATTGTATTTACATAAAGTGCAAAAATATAGGTCATAATTTGTTGGTTTATTATAACCACTGGCAATAATGCTCCCTGTGTGTTATTATATAACTAACACATCACGTGTTTGAGTTTTCTTAGAACGGAATGCTAATTAGTTATTTCCTTGGTGTGCAAGGATTAAAATATGACAAGCGCTCTGATTTTCTTTCATTACTAAATTGCACCAACTTGTGAAAACCCGGAAATCGAGGTGTGAAGATTGTTCAGTTGAGGAAGCAGTGTGATCTGCCAGTAGCATCTCCCTGCAGTATTTGAAGGCAACAGCCCAATTGGTGAAAAAACTGTACCAAGGTGCAAATTCCTGCTGGAAGAAGCTAGGATGATCCCATAAACTACCAACCCTTTATATTTACAATACAATCATTAATTATTGACTATTCTATTAAGGCTTCATTCACTTTTTTGTGCTTGAACATAATTTTTATATAATTTCACTTAAGAATAAAACATCCACTTCCAGGGGCTCTTTCTTTTTATTTAAGGGCACCCTGAAATCTGACATTTAAGCATTAGTTTATGAAAAGCATTGTATTCAGGGTTGAATGTCAGGCTTCAGTGTATCATTGTGCAATGCTGTATTGTATTATACTCATATTTGACTGATGGAATGCAAAGACTGAAAAATCCTCTTAGTAATTATTAAAAAATGTTGGATAATTGGCCATCATTAAGTAGATACGTTGCAAATACAAGCGATAGGCAAACATTGATGTTGTGAAAATAACCATATAAATGTAGATATTATTTGCAATCACCAAATGTCAGATCTGCAGTAATAGTGTCCTTAATATTCCAACAATCAAACTGTTCCAAGTTTGTGCTTGGTGCTGCATAACACATGACATAGGCCCAAAACAAGTGTGATGGATTACCCATTACAAGCAACTTTGAAAGCTCTTCAACATGATTTGCATTGTGCGCTGATGAATTGGAGGCAGTGCCTGACTTGAAGGCAGGAAATCAATCTAAAAGAAGTTGAGGCATGCTCAAGGAAATATTCTGCAGGAATATCAATGATACCCAATTTGTAGTTAATGAGCTACAATATGCAAAACTACTAGTAGGGTATTTTACTGTACAATGTCATTACCATTGGCAGGGTGGCATTAGTGTGCAGAGCAAATGACAGGTGACATGAAAGGCTCCCACATGGCTGCCACACATCTCAGGTTTCAGGAGCACTTTAAGCCTCAGGGTTCGTATGACTTCTGTCACACACAGCGGCTAGAGCATTTTCTCTCCGCTGTCAAACGGGGCTAATTATAGAGAACAGTGATTACAGCTACGTGAGGTCAGAGTTGAATGTGCCTGCGAACTGATCATTTATATTCTGAAGTGAACCACCTCCGCACTCACTGCTGATTGATTTTCAACAAGTTTGTTTTGGAGGATAATCCAATCAGTGACAGGAAACATTTCCTCCCTGGTGTCTGAGTCTCAGATCGATACAGTTCACAGTTCATCTGCTCTCTGATGACAAGTGTTCAGTCTTCACACTCACTCTGACCGCTGTCCCCAGAGGTACAGCATGCAGCTCAATTAGGAAAAGAGTGGAAAAGAGGGGAGGTGGAAGAAGAAGTGCTGAGGTAGTTCCAGTAGTGGACAGTAGCGTAGTACATCTTCTCAAGTACTGTACTTAAGTATTATTTTTAGGTACTTGATCGTACATTTCCTGCTAATTTGTACTTAAAATCAGCTTAAATTATTCACTACTACTCCACTTTTTATCCCATGGTGAAAACTCCCCAACAGCTAAATGTAGTAAAAAATGATGAACACATTAATGCATCAGTAATTATGATTCAATTATATAAAATACACCATTGGGAAGAATATTAACATTTACTTTTGGTACTTAAAGTTTATTTTGATGCAAGTACTTTTGTACTTTTTTTCTTTGAACGCAGGACATTCCCTTGTAACATAGTATTTCTACACTGGGATATTGTTACTTTAACTTAGAGGGTAACTTTTTCAACTAGTATATGTACATTGACTGTGCTGAATTCACTGATATGATTACATTGCTAGTACTTGGTCCACCACTTGAAAGATTAAGAAGACAATTCAGATTACGGAAAAATTGTTCGGCTCTGACAGGAAGTGAGGTGATGAATTTAGAGGAGGAGAGAGAATAGACACGAGCACTGAATTAATGAGGATGAGGAGAAGCATTAATCGCCTAAGCTGTTATACATCGCAAGCTATTAATCTCCGGAGATGCAATCCCAAACGGAGATCAGATACACTGAGATCCAATTAACTTCCTCTGCAGGAGGAATCGGCCTCCGCTGACCAGATTCACCCCACACTACATGATAACTAGAGGACATCCCCGAGCTGGGGGGCTGTCAAAAGATCAGCGTGAGATCTGTCAGCAGAGCTTCACACTCATTTATTCAGTATCTAAAATCTGTATTAATCTGGGAGGAAACTCGCATCACAAGGCCAAACTCTGATTAAGTCAAAGCTGTCCAAACTTTTACTGTCAAAGTGTTTATTCAGCTGCAGGCACATACTTTCCTTCTTCGCCCTCTTATCGTTCAACAACAGCTCCGAGTCCTCTGTCAGCAGAACGGGTTCATGGTGCCGGGTAGGGCAGTGACCACAGACCACGCACGCACGCACGCACACGCACACACACACACACACACACACACACACACACACACACACACACACACACACACACACATACTCAGAATGTGCAGCCAGGCTGTAGACCTGTAGACCTGTAGAGCTTCCAATGCATTGAGAAATACTTTCAAGCCTTAGATCTTTCTCTTACATAAACAGATTGACATTTAAAAATAAATCATCACCATATCCAATTTGCAAAAGGCCCCCAGAATATAATGAAATGACAAAATAGCAAGCCCATTTTTCTATACTGGGATCTCCTTAGAAAACATAACCCTGCATATTAACAAAGCCATAAAAAGGCAATATTGCAAATAAAAGTTAGTTCAACTATGATGGTGCACTTTTAAGGGAGGTTTATGTTGTAATTTCCATTGATTGTATGTTTACTTGTTTTGAGGAACACTTTGAGCAAAGTGCTATCCTCTTAGATTTCCGTTTCACAATACATTTTTTAGTTGTTGCAAAAATCCAATCAAACATCACTGTTTTCTCCACTCTAGAATGAAAAGCCAGAGAGATAGATGGCAATGGCATCCTCCCATCCAGAAACCATCACAAGTGTGTTACATTACCCTCTATTTAGTTGCCAGACCCATCAGACCTCCCCTTTGCTTGAGAAGCAGCACAGTAATAGTGAAGCTGTGAGGAGGCAGGCTAATCCCGCACATACTGTATCAAAGCATTCACAGCTTTAATTATCCCTATGTCATACTGGCATCTGAGCAATTTCCTTTCAAGTTTGGCTCTTCAATAATTCCCAGTTTACGGCAACAACTGACACTAATCATTGAGGGAAACAGTTCATTACAGAGAGTTTTGGATGTGCATCAACAGAAGCAAAACACAATCCTCCTGTTGAAGCTATTACTCTTGTTTGTATGCTGTGAGGCTGTTGTGTTTCTGGAACACAGCAGTGTCTCAGGGGTGTGTGGATGTGTGTGTGAGAGTATGAGACACTAGCTTGGAACATCACTTTCCCGAGCTCCCTGCACTAATCCTATTGTAGCAGCAGTAGTAGCTTGTGCACTGGAGCATCCAGGGCACCGTAATGACAGACCGCAAACAAACAACGGGACACAAGAGATCACAACGTGTCCACCTGATCGCTTAATGCTACAAAAACTGGAGTGTGATTTTCCCCTGCGGTGCCACAATTTCCCCTCATATGTGCAATTTGTGTATTTATGCAGCTGGAGAATATCTTAAGTCAAGGTAATTGACATTAATAGATGATGATGATAGTAATAACACAAGTCGGTCCATATCAGGATTTCTGTGCTTATTATTTTCGGATATGAACTGCAAGTGAGCACAGTGCAAGTGAAAACAGCATAGCAAAACTGTTAATTAATGTTGCTCTGTTTAAATAAATGTTTCCTTTTCTTTCCTGTGATAGAGAGTATGTAAAACAATACATCTTTCGAAAAAGAGCCAAACTGAATTGGTGAAAATAGCTTAGTGCAAATGCTGAAGTACTTTACTTCATTCCCTTGTTGTACCTTATATTTATTCTCCACTACAATCAAGTAATGTGCTTTTTACACCATTAATAATACTATTTGACACCTATAGATACATAACTATGTATTTTAATTTTATAAAGATAAAATCAACATATTTTTCTTGCAGAAAAACTGATGATCTAAGAATTTACTCTACAATAATATAAGACCATAAACAGATATTCAGCATTTTGCCAATAACACATTTGTAGCTTTGCTGGAGTAAGATTTTGAATGCAGGAGTCTTACTTGGAATAGAGTATTGTTACATTGCTGTATTCATATATATTATTCAACCTCTGGCATACTGTACAATACCACTTTTACATCATAGATTAGTTAAGCAAACATTTCCAAGATGGTTGGTCATACAGTGTGTTTAACATATTTTATACAAGGCAATTTATGCAGTCTGTATTTACTGAAAGCCTCAAAAACATGTTTTCTCTTTGTGTATAATTAGAAGCAGTATACATGATATGTACACTGTGAGGGATATACACAGGAACATCTAATGTAAAGCTGCAATCTGGAGAGGCAGCATCTGTGTGTAACTGTGGCTTATAGCTGGCTGCTGTACAGATTGGGGTGTGTGTGTGGAGGGGAGGGGGGGGGGGTTTAGGCTGCATTAAACAAACTGTTATGTGTTGGTAAATATTTAGGTCACAGGCTGGTCCTGGTGTGCAGGCGTTATCAGGAAGGTCCTAACAGATGGCCCCAGAGCTCTGACCTCAACATTAATTACATGAAAATGGCCTGTGGTGATGACGTCCTCTAACCGAACTCTTCTCCCCTTTCTCTTCCTCTCTCGTTTAGGTGACTGCCATATGAGGAGCAACCAAGGATGACAAAATGGAGATAACGCGAGGGGAGCTGATCCACTTCTTTAATTCACCTCCATCTTCTCTTCACCGCCTCCATAATCATCCTCCTCCTCCTATTGGCTCCTGCTGCTCTACCTTTTCCCCACAGAGGCTGCTCAGAACTGGAACAAGGGAGCGTCTTGCCCCTCCTTGAAACGCCTCTAAATCACAGGTCGGTGAGACGACGCACAGCGATGCGCTAAAGCCGGCACCCGACAGCTGGTGTCCTCCTCACCTCTGCGAGGATCCACTGAACCTTCCAGGGAGGAGGTGGGGTGGCGTATCTCCCTCAGTGACCCCTCCGACTCCCGATGCCATACTACTGAATGCTGACCATGAACCTGCCCTGTCTCTCTCTCTTTGTAACTGTCTGTCTCATCGGCTGTCAATCTGCACCAAGTGCCATAGCGTCATACATTCCTTCAGACATTGCACTGACCACCAACAACCCTCATGACTTCATCACTGACTATGTTTACATGCACACTATAATTAAGTAGCCGTTTTTATTTGCTAGACAGTAGAAGCAGTTGTTTACTGCTGTCATAAAGCTCCATTGGTGTCTCCTCTGCTCAAATACAAATAATCAACACTTAATTCTGCCCATTGCTCGGAGCCTGTAAACACAGAAGCTTTCAAATTTAAATTATTTAAAGAAGCTGCAAGATAATAATTCTCAAATGGATTTTCAACCGATCAAAAGAGCTCCAAAAGTCAGATCATTCTGCACATCTTCATGGCAGTATTACCAACATAAACTACCGTGTTTACACGATAAATGCAGTATTCTCATAATCGATCAAAATCATAGCTGTGCATGTAAATATAGCAGTCACACCCAGAGCCAAAAACTGTCTAAAGGTCAGTGAATCAGCCTTAAAAATTGGAGCGTTCCTATCAGCAGCTGTTTCCTTTGACCCCTACATGTGTTTTTATTTTTAGCACTTACATCAGAGTAGACGGTGCCAGACGTACCACCGGTGCCAGAGATGACAGATTTCTGCACATCTTTTTTTTCACAAGTTTTCTTGTGATTTTTATTTTTCCTGTGTGATGTTGGATTTGAAACTGGAGGTTACTGCCTATGATTGTTTCAGAAGGACCATGATGCAATCGTGGCGATTAAACAGACACTGGACTCTATATTTTATAATTTATAATGTACATGCTTTTCCCAAAAGTAAATGAAATGCTACTCGTTTGACTTTTAAGGAGAAACACAGATGTGTTTTTATGTGTGCATTAGAAGCAATACAAACCTTTTTTGAAGGAGCCAACCTTTTATCCACACTGCCTTATCAGTGAGCTTGGTTTTCTCTTTAAAGAGAGCTCTCTGATGGTTGGTTTTGAATTTCTGGACACATCACCCACACAGAGACGGAGTGGCTTTTAATGATGGATTCCAGTCCAATCTACCCTGGTTACAATACCAAGCATTGTGGAAAGAGACCTTTCCCCCTCGCAATTGTAGATATCCCATTCCACGATCAAAAGAAAGGACCTTTGAGAAGAGCTGGAGCCACGGTCATCAAATTATTACTGAGAGACATAAAAATCCCAGACAGGAAGATGAAATCCTTCAGGCCCAGGTTAGACTGATGGCGAGCTCTTATCGTAGATAGCGGATAAGAAAGGAATCCCCTATGAAACCAGACCATCATGTCCTCAGCTATGTCAATGCAGAAGGTGAAAACAGAGTCAACTTGAATACCTGCACCAGCAACATGTTCTCACTCCCAACTCGTCAAATACAGCAGCTCTGTTAGGGCCCATGGCGACACTTTTTAACGCACTGGCCTACTAGACCTTTAGCATAATTGTTCAACATGCAGGGTACTCCAAGAGAGTAGAGAGTCTGTCATTAAGTACCGTTAGGTTTCAGTAGTTTAAATTATGTTTAGATAAATTCAGTTTTGTTGGAATAAATTGCGCTCCATTGCATTGCGTTGCGTTGCATTACGCTACCAAATGCTACGTTATGCAACGATACGTTGGCCTTTGCTACATTACGTTAATTATTGAGTGCGTTACATTAGATTACCTTACGTTATGTGAGTAAATTCATTGAATTATGTTGCGTTACTACTTGCGTGCGTGATGGCAGTTGAGTCCATTTGTTAACTTTAATTAAGTTAACATTAATTTCACAAGGAACACAAACCGCTAACTCCTGAAAGTCTTAAGTTGACCGTCCAGCCTTACCCTCTCAAAACTTTATTTTGCTATATAGGCCTACTGTACTTAACATCCCCCTCTAAATCCGTCATTATAACCATGGCCAATAGAGGCAGCCCTGCATCTGTAAAAACGAGGCTTGAAGGATCCGTAGTACCACTGGCAGGCTGCCCTATTTGACAAGTATAGGGAGTGAGAATGACATCTTATGACATAAGAATCAGTACACAATCGATAGAATTTAGTTTTCATCCCTGATTAATTACACTATTTGCATCATATTTGTAATAATGCGAGTTTAATGCTAAACATTACAAAGGAGAAACATTTCTGCTATTGTTAGTTGCTTGTATATACAAAGATGTAGGCAGAAGGCTCATTAGAAGCTACCCTGAAGAATCATTTTGTTGTTCATTACCTGGTGGATACAATTTAATAGAAACCTTGAAGCCACTAATGGAGTCAAAGGTTTTAAAACTGGCGCATAAAGGGAAGAAAAAAGCACTTTGCAGACGTCCAAGAAAAACACAGAAGGAAGAGGATGGAATGACCTTAGCGGAGGAATAAAAGGGAAACGTTGAGGTGTTTTGTGTAGCATTGATGTGTGAGCATGACTCACCGGCTGTGTGCGGGGTGCTGTGTGGGCTGTGTCCTTGTTGCCAGATCATTAGCTTTAGCTTCTCTCCAACTGTGTGGAGCTTTCTGAATGTGATTCTGTCCAACCTTCCTAATGAACTAAGCTTCTTACCTTCCTTTTGTTGATTTTTTGTTAATGTTACCAAATTAGTTTTTCTTTTTAAATAACTACAATAGAGATATATATCACGCAGCAACTTTAATATATTGTAAATGATGGCTTGGATGCAATGTATTTATTTGTTTGTTACCATAATGAAGAATAATCTATAAAGGGAATTTAAGGTTTGAGTATATTACACGTTGTATGTCATTGGGTTTAGAAATGCCTGTTTGTTCATCCTTTTGTATCACAATGAAACAACACAATACCTTTTTACATCACTAAGATTCCTCCTGTTTACTGTGATCATGAATTGGACATCTCATGCATATTACACACAAAAGGAACTGCGATGTGATGCATTTAGGACAACATATCGGTCTCATGTTTAGGGTGCAATACTTTTTTGCATTCATTTTTGTATCTCTTGTAAATGTTTTCAACTGATCATCCATTTTGCACACTTAATGTTCAGGGATTTATTTGAACCATAGCCTAGCATCAACTCCACGGCCTCTAACACAGGTCTGTCTCTTCATGCTCACAGTACAGCTAGTACTGACATATCGTCATCATGAGAAGGGACGTTGGCTCTGGTCAGATGGGTCATGAATTGAGTTTCACTTTGCCAAATTTTAGTTCAGTTAGCACCAATCCTTTAGGAGTATAAGTCCGTTTTATTGAGTAATTCTATGTTAATAATCACTGAAGTGATGTATTGAGAATGTGCTATTTCTTGTCATACAAGAATCGTGTATAAAGAAACCTATTTCTGATATTGAGCAGAAAACAGAGGTTATTTTTTATTTTTAGAGCAAGTCATTACAAGGGATGTGTAGAAAAATCAAAGGATATTATTCTAGAACTGAACTGTGAGGCTCCCTCGGGGGGTTGATAGAAAATGTATATGTCTGTAAATCAAATAAACCTATTTAATCACTTCATACCCCCGTGTTGTCTCTTTTTTTTCTCCTCATATGTGTCTTGGATTCATCAAATGCAAATAAATCCAGTAGTGTCTTCCACTAGAAATGATTTCTCACTTAACTATTTCCCCCTGATCTATTTTAGGAGACTTTAATAAAGAGCTTGCTTCAATTTAGAGTCAAAATGAGTCCAGCCAATGGTAGTTTGAACAAATTATAATTTCACAGTACAGAACCGCTTCAGTGTAACATTACTGAGTTTAGGATTTAGGTATATGCAGTTATGCTACACATGCTGTGCATATGATATGCCCACGTTTGATTCCAGAAACAGATGGATTCTCATCTCATGGATCCTTTTCAAAGAACATATTTGTTAATTATCACGTCCACATGTCTTATTCTGTAGCATTGGTATTGCTGATGTCCAATGTGAGGTGTCATTTTTCAAACATCACAGTTAAATCACAGGCCTTTGAAATAGTGTCATGGCAGACTTATGATATCAAGGCAAGGCAAGGCAAGTTTATTTATATAGCACTTTTCAACACAAGGCAATTCAAAGTGCTTTACAAAAAATGAAAGAGATTAAGAAAATGGCATTTAAAATCAGTCATTAAAAAGAAATGCTAATAAAATAAACATTAAAAGAAAAAAAAATACATGGCAGTCAATTAAACATTAAAAGAAAAAAGTACATGGATAAAAGTTACAGTGCAGTCTAAGATATGAATAGTTCAATTAAAAGCAGCGACAAAAAGAAAAGTCTTCAGCCTGGATTTAAAAGTAGTCAGAGTTGCAGCGGACCTGCAGGTTTCTGGGAGTTTGTTCCAGATATTTGGAGCATAATAACTGAACGCTGCTTCTCAATGTTTAGTTCTGACTCTGGGGACAGAAAGCTGACCAGTCCCTGAAGACCTGAGAGATCTGGATGGTTCATAATTTAGCAGGAGGTCAGAAATGTATTTTGGGCCTAAACCATTCAGTGCTTTATAAACCAGCAGCAGTATTTTGAAATCTATTCTTTGACACACAGGAAGCCAGTGTAAAGACTTCAGAACTGGAGTGATGTGATCCACTTTCTTAGTGTTAGTGAGGACTCGAGCAGCAGCGTTCTGAATTAGCTGCAGCTTTCTAATAGATTTTTTAGTGAGACCTGTGAAGACACCATTGCAGTAGTCGAGTCTACTGAAGATAAAAGCATGGACAAGTTTTTCCAAATCCTGCTGTGACATTAGTCTTTTAATCCTAGATATATTCTTTAGGTGATAGTAGGCTGATTTAGTAACAGTTTTAATGTGACTGTTGAAACTCAGGTCAGAGTCCATGACTACACCTAGATTTCTGGCTTTATCTGTTGTTTTGAACATTGCAGACTGAAGCTCAGTGCTAACTTTTATACGTTCTGACTTGGCTCCAAAAACCATTACCTCAGTTTTATCTTTGTTTAATTGGAGAAAGTTCTGACACATCCAGTCATTGATTTGTTCAATGCACTTACTCAGTGTTTGAATTGGAGCATAGTCTCCTGGTGAAATTGTCACGTAAATTTGTGTGTCATCTGCATAGCTATGGTAACTTATTTTGTTGTTCTTCATTATCTGAGCCAGTGGTAGCATGTAGATGTTAAAGAGAAGAGGCCCCAAGATGGAGCCTTGAGGAACCCCACATGTCATATTTGTCAACTCAGATGTGTATTTACCTATAGAAACAAAGTTGTTTCTGTCCTTTAAGTAGGATTCAAACCAATTCAGAACTGTTTCCGAAAGTCCCACCCAGTTTTCCAGTCGGTCTAGTAATATGCTGTGGTCAACAGTGTCAAACGCAGCACTGAGATCTAATAATACTAACACTGAAGTTCTGCCACTGTCTGTGTTTAAGTGGATGTCATTAAAGACCTTTACAAGAGCAGTCTCAGTGCTGTGGTTTGGACGAAAGCCTGACTGGAACACATCGAAACAGTTATTTAAATGCAAGAAATTACTCAACTGTTGAAAAACAACTTTTTCAATGATTTTACCTAGAAATGGCAGGTTTGATATGGGCCTGTAAATGTTCATTACTGAAGCATCTAGATTATTCTTTTTTAAGAGCGGTTTAATGACTGCAGTTTTCAGGGCCTGTGGAAAAATACCTGAGTGAAGAGATTTGTTTACTATATGAAGTAGATCTGAGGCCATGCAAGGCAAAACATCTTTGAAAAATCCTGTTGGAATAATATCAAGGCAGCAAGAGGAGGATTTCAGAAGTTGAATAATGTCCTCTAGGTTTTTATCATTAATCTGATGGAATTGTGTCATGATGTCTGAATTGATGTTAAGTGGAGATAGGGACAACACATTTGCTGTTCCTGATGCAGAGGCACTGACTGCTTGTCTGAATTTCTGAATGTTGTCAGTGAAGAAGGAGGCAAAATCATTGCACGCCCTGGTGGATAGAAATTCAGAGGCGACTGACACTGGGGGGTTAGTTAGTCTGTCGACGGTAGCAAACAAGGCACGTGCGTTGTTTTTGTTTTTGGTAATGATGTCAGAGAAGAACGATTGTCGTGCGTTTTTCAATTCCAAATTATAAAGGCCAAGTCTCTCTTTATAGATTTCAAAGTGAACCTGGAGATTTGTTTTTCGCCACCTGCGTTCAGCTTTTCGACATTCTCTTTTCTCTGTTCTCACGGTCATGGCCTTTCTCCATGGAGATATTTTCTTGACAGACACTTCCTTTAACCTAGTTGGAGCAATGGCATCTATAACATTATTAACATATCAGTCCAAAGAATCATTATAAAATAATTTTGTGGTAAAACTTGATTTACACCCCTGGATATATCACTTTACTTGAGGGAAATAAGGGGTAATCGTAAAATGAAACAATCTCAACCTTAGCAGCTTATTATTCTTATTTCCCGAGATTTAATGAACAGTTAGGCAGTGTTTATTACATTTTTTAAATGACATATTAAAGTATTAAAGTTAAGAAAATAAAAAATATAAATAAATACATTTAATTGTAAAAATAAGAAAGGATTGAGAGTTTAAAAAAGGAAGAAATGTCAGTAGACTATGTATGATGGTGCTTACACATTCAATATACAAAAAGACATACAGTATACATACATTTATACAAACACAAAAATGTCAAAGGGAGAAAAGACTCTTCAAACTCTTCAGGGCTAAATCCTTCAATAATGTTTAAATATGAGTACAATACAATTATTCCACAAGCATTCTTGATATTCATTGATTTGTTCCTAACTCTTATACATTTGTCAGAACTGGATGTTACACTTGTTCAGATGTACCCAATGAAGAAGAGTAAGGTCAGAGGTATTCATGCATAGACTTTTTTTTTGTACATACTTTTGAGAACTGGATACTATATCCCGCCTCTCCTCATCTTTGCAGAGGCTTACAAAGACTTGATTTTTATCACAGTGAGAGAGGGCCGGATTTAGTGAATGAACTACTGTATTGTTCAGGTGCAGTCAGGCAGGCCTCTGTGCGGCTCACTTTGCAAAGCAATCTTAAATTCCCCAGAGGTTTACAGACGCACTGACACATCACAGACATGACACATCCGTGCTGTGGATGAAGAGGAAAAATACATAATATTTACCTTCACAGGAAGTGAGGAAGTACGCAGCCAAAGGCCCGCTGTGTGCTAGCATTCATCAGAAAGGGCCTCACATGGCAGCTAATGGCACTAATGGACTTGTCTATGACAGGGCTACTCAAACACAAAGGATAAGTATACACTGCCATTGTGACAAAAGAAGACTTGAAATGTTGGGTTGAAACCTTTAATTAGGCAGAGCATTGTATCCGACTTGCCCTCAGTTAGAAGAGAGCGAGATTACATAGGAGCCAGAGGAAGCTCAAAGTGAAGGATTGGTGTTTGGTGTGTGGATGACCAGGAGAAACACACACCCTTTCCCACAGTCAGACCCATCTGTACCCCGAAGTCAGGGCGCTCCAATCTCAAAGTCAACACACCTAGTCATGCAGCAGGCAGGAAACACTGGGGCGTAGACAGGAAAAGGGGAGCCATTCTAGCAAGCATTGGAATTTCCATTTGCACTTTGCCACTTAAATTTACAGAGGACAAACTTTGTACAACACGCAGGGTACATTGAGGTTGAAAAATAGCTGTGGGTGGATGTGAATGTTTAAAATGTCAGCCTGTCCAAGGTTAGAAAGCACCATTGTGTAGGCCATCCGTTTTTTAAATGTTGCTGTGCATCATGAATAACAGTGGATGGTTGTTTTGAAATGTACTCAGAAAAGAATATGGTACATTGAACATTGGTTTACAATGCTTTATGAACATTCAAATTTAATACATTTTCATCATGACATTTCAATTTTAAGTTTCAATCTGTATTTATGGATAGAATTATGTTATGTTTTCATATTAGTAAATACTGAACTGAGACATTTACCTCCAATTTACACACTTCCACCCTCATAACCACCTCTGAATCCTAATATTTCCAATCTTCTTAACATCCTGGCAGTCCAATAATGTAATAAAGCCTAGAAACTTGTTCAACTTCCTCCCAAGTGATCACAAATAGTCTGTGGTGGAACAACCCCAAAAGGGTAATGTGTGTAAGCGGGTTAAAAACATATAAAGGCTTCAATTAAAGACCTAAATTGGTTTCTTTCATCATTCAAAACTGACTTGTCTTTGCAGCGTCTCATTGCAAAATTAGAAAACAAAAGGTTTATGTTGACAGGCAACCACAGTTACATAATGACTTAAAGTGAGAATCTGTCAAGAAACATTACTCACACCATTATTTATTGACAATATAGTTGTCATATATTTGATTTATGTTTTCTCCTGAAAGGAAGAAAAATCCATGTAATAGGACTGCTTCTTAATGCGGTTACCAGCACAGCATGACATAGAGGTCGGGGGAAGAAAACTAGACGTGATCATTTATATTTCTGTCGAAAACCATGAATAAGAAGTATCTGCAGTCTGTAGAATCACATCTCCGCTGTGAATCTCTCACCTTCCC